GAAGTAATATTGTCATTAACATCAAAATTTTCAGTTGGTAAACTTGCTTCCACGATTCCAGAGCGTTTTCTCTTTTTACTAGCAATTTTCTCTTTGCAAGAAGGTATTAACTTTTTCAGTAAATAAAAAATTACTGCATTTTGATTATCTAAAAAATAATATCATTTTTGAAACGTTTGATGATAAAAATAAATAAAAAGATTTACAAATATATATATAAATAAATATAATAATATAATATAAATATAAATATATATACATATATATATATATATATATATATATATATATATATATATATATATATATATACCAGATTTTTAAAGGCACTAAGTTTTAGATGTAAAGCTGGAATAATGAGCTTGTTTTGTTCGACGAGAGGATTAAATTTGACATTTTTTTGACTAATAGTAAAATTAGTTCTCTTCGGACAATCTTTTCGAACATAATGATCGTGACGTGCTCGACTATCCCATTTGCACAGGAAACACATATACTTTGTATACCCTTGTTGCAAACTAGTTAACATAGCAACTACTTTAAGGTCTGCACAGATTTTCCAGTTATGATGTTTGTAATTGATTAAATCTAGTAATAAGGACATTGATTCATATGATTCTTTCGTATTTACAGCGTGGGAAACTGGAATCAAGGGTTTGTTGTTACCTTGGTGCAACAAAACAGCTTTTAAACTTAGTTTGCAGCCATCGATGAATAAACGCCATTCATTTGGATCATATAATTCTCCAAATTCTCTAATCAAACCGTTTATGTCATGGCAATAACAAATACCATCCTTTTTCGAATAGTAATTAGCAAAACGCTCGTGACGGGTTCTTTGATAAGTTACTTTAACATCAGAAGCCACAAAATTTCGTACTTTCAGACGTGATGTCAACAATTCCGACTTTTCCTTTGTTAGATCTAAATCTCGTATTAAGTCAATTAAGTTCACTTTGTGTGTAAGGAATTCTTTTTTTTCTCGCTCAAAATCACAGTCGCTTGAATCACTGGGTTCAGATTATGTATCGACAAGTACATGCTTCCGTTTAGGGCAAATAGGATACGGAATTGAAGGTGAATGAGGAAATGGTTTTGAAAAAGAATGCCCTTCTGCATTTTCAACTTTTCGATGACTTTCACACTGCTTTACTTTGGTCAAACAAAAATAGCAGTCAATCTCATGACACATTGGCTGTCGACAAATTGCAGGAACGACAAATGACAAGTAGCGACTAAAAAAACATCAATTACTTAATACTGAACTTATAAAAACCGGGCAAGTGCGAGTTGCACTTGTGCTGAAAAGGCGGGTTCCGTACATTAATATTTACATCATTTGATACCAAAAAAAAAAGCTTTCGGTGTACAAAACCCTAAAAACTATAAAAATATTTACGTACTTTTTGCCTGCCATCTACAAAGTTAAGCTAGTTCTGCAGGTATTGCACAAAACATTTGGTGTCCATGATTCATTAAGATTTTCCGGAGTAACTTTGAAATATAAACGATATGGGTGATTTTCACGTAACTGTAATATTTGGCGGCGTCACAGATAACACATTCAAAATAAAAAATTTTTACTTGGGTGTGGATACATTTTACAGGTTTTTGTATAAAACCTATTCGCAACCACAAATATGTACAAATAGATCTTATAATTTTTAATAAATTGCAGAATTCTCTTCATTTTCAAAAAAAGTTTTTAAAAACGTGTCCGTTTTTAAAAATTTTAAGTTAAAATTCAGAAATTTTACTAAAAACGTCAAAACTGGAAACGAGCATTTTTATAATATGAATTGTGTATATAGATGAACAATTTGTGCATATAATGCATCTTCTAATACTTCTTATAAAGTTATAAAATTTAAAATAGTTTTGTCCACAAATTTTTTCAATTTTGTAATAAGATTTTTTTCCCTATAATTTAAGTGTTTATGGCACATTTTTATGTTATCTGAGAATTACAATCTAAAATAAGATCCATTAGCAACAAATACCAGTAAAATAAGTTCTAAAATTGGAAGTTCTACACTTAAAAACAATTTTTTTTGTAAAAATGTGAAGTTCACAAAAAAAGTGGTCAGTATCGTGGTATTACTATTCTTTTAATCTAAACACTCTCTGTGGTAATTATTACGACTTTTTTGAAGATTATATTAGAAACAAATTATCTGCCCAAAGAAAAGATTTATTTTGCAAAATTGTCGGAGTTAGGTTAGTATAAATGTCAGCTCCGTTGTGTCACATAAAATGTCAGTTCCGTGGCGCCTGTGACGTACAGTGTGAAGGTGCAAATTTATTAATCAAAAGTTGCTTCAACAACACATATTATAGAAAAGGACAGACATTTCAGTAAACAAAAACTAATTGAAATAAATTAAAAAGAATTCACAAAGAGTTTCAGTGAATCCCGCTTAGTGACAAATACGAATTGGAGCTATGTTGCAATTTTCCTAAATTCGTCAGACTGTATTGAACCTTCAAACCTTCTATTCATACTAATTCAATGGACAAGTTTTAGGGCCTTTAATTTTTTTTAATTTGTCAGCACGAATTCAATGCATGCCTTGGTCATTTCTTACGAATGCGAATTCGTTTGCACAACTTTAGGCAAATTGAATCGAATTCAATCAAATATACAAAGAGCTTGAATAAATTCCGCTTTCTACCAAAAATCTTAATAGATTTCAATCCGTTTGAATTAGTTTTTTTTACTGGGATAGTTGTGTCCTTTTATATTTCAGTGCTTCGGCAACCGTTGACTCATTAAAAAATACCTTAATATTCAAAAAAAGCCTTTACTTTTGGTGCTTAATTTAAAATGTCTTTATGTCAACCAATAAGCAGAAGCACAGTATTACTGTTGATCGTAACGCTCTTATCGGTGAATACTTTTCTAAAATTAGTTTTATGCGCTAATTTCATTATTATATAAATGAAATTCTCTCGTTATGTCAATCTGATAGTAAATATTTTTTTATCCCACATGGCTGCCTTTATACCCTTGTTGCTTAATATACTATTGCAGGGGGTATTTTTTGCATTAAAATGCTTTTTTAACTCAATGCTTTATTTAAATTTAGAATTAAAAGAAAATAAACTTTTGATATATGTTATGGACTTCCTTCTGAAGGTTTCCTATGAGTTAGGCAATGAAATAAATTTTTTTGTCGGAGTTGTAGTCATTAAAAGTTGTGCACAAAATAGACCCCGGGATGGGGCTACTTTGTGCATCGAACTTTGACTTTTTATAATGTTACGTAAACATTTTTTTGATCCTTCTCCTTCATTAAATTTTTTCTGTAGATATTTCAGAGTAAATTAAAAAAAGAATGAGATATTAAAAAAAATGTTGTAAATATTATACAACGAAATGTAAAATAAAACACTAACACTATGTAAATAAACACTAAGATTTTGCTAAAATCATGATTTATTAAAAATTAACAACCTTTCTTCAAATTTTATATTACTCAGAAAATAAATAACACTTTTTCTTTTTGAATATACATTTTACAATAATACATTATGATAATTATAATACTATCATTTAATAACTGAAGTTTATTCGTTTTAAGGATTTTAATTAACTTATTTATGGTTTTTGACAAACAAGTTCTTTTTAATAATTTTATTTATTAAATACCTCGCGTACATAAAATAGCCCCAGTTGACGGCAGTATAATTCAATGCATTTTGGGTGGTCAGCTCCGTGGCAGCCAATTTTCGAAAATTTGTTATAATTTTTTTATAATTATAGCTGTAGTAAAACCGTTTAAATTACAACTATATTATGCCCTAATGATGAGGAAAAGTGATGTTTAACATTAAGAAAACAAAATTTTTTTTCTTTTGAAACTGATTTTAAAATTGCACAGTTACGTGAAAATCACCCATTATGCATTTTGCAATGTAGCAGTAAAATTTGACGGAGTCACGAAAATATATTCTCCACAAGCATAACAGAACTTGTTTGGATCATTTTTGCAAATGTAAATGCGTTTTACCTTATTCATTTTTTATAAAGATGTTCAATATGTCATTAATCTGATAACAACGACCGTAAAAGACTATAAATAATGAAACTGGCTTCAGTAACAAAGTTAAGTCAACTTAAAAAAAAGTTGTTTTAATAAACAATGTACGAATCATTGCCAACATTCACTATAAATGAAAAAGCGGAAAATTCATAAAATTAGGTAAAAAGTAATTTTCTATATTTGTTAAAAGTGAGTTTTTGGATCGTAATATAATTTGTGTTTTGAGGTTTAGGCCAAAGAATCTTTTTTTTGACGTTTCGATGGTAGCCACCATCCTTTTCAAGAGAAAACATTCTAAAAAATTACATTTAATTATAAAAATTATAAGTTATTAATTACAAAAATGATAAATTACAATAATTGAAAGAAATTTTCTTTCTATAACAGAAACGTGAGACAACATACGTGGTAAAGCATGTTTAATTTATTTTTGGAGTTAAGAAACAACTCCTCACCACCACCACTACATATTTAAATAAATAAAATTAGTAAAAAGTTATGATTAAATTCATAACCTTTTTTTTATAAAGTCTCTGTGAGTAAAGTTAGCAGATAATTACCATAGATTATGAATTCTTTGGCCTAAACCTCAAAACACAAATTTTCTATATTTTTACTCAAGTGCTTATATCTTTTACATTTTCAAGGCAATTTTGATCGGCGACGGCTTATTTTCTTCCTAATAAATTGTACTTTGACGTCAGAGAAAAAAAACACCAAACAAATACGTTTTTCATGACGTAATTAATCGAAAATGTCAATCATTTGGGATGCAATCTGCCTTATCATCGCAGCTGCGCAATGCAGTTACCAACTTTATCTAAAGGATCTTTTGTGATTTGCTGTAAACCAGGTTTAACATCTTCATCAGTGAATTCCCAATCAACTTCGAGTATAGATACAGTCATGAGTGCCATAATGAATTTGACAGAAACTGTTTCCGCAAATTGTGTCATTATGACAGAGAATTTCGCTGATATTAATGCCAAACTTGATGACACACTCTCAAGACTTATTAATATGGAAGGTAGAGTGTCTAACCTCTCAGATCGTTTAGTGTCAGTGAAGGGGAGACTTGAAAGGTGTGAGATTAGTTGTTCTGAAAAAATTGAATCGAAAATTGAAACCAACAAATGTATTAATGAAATTATAGATCGAAACGAAAGAAAGCGAAACCTAATATTGTTTGGTCTTCCGGAAAACAACACTGCAAGCAATAATTCCTCAGAATCTGTTGAATCAGTTGATAATTTAAAAACTACTGTCATCGACAAGTTGAAAAGTCTCTCTGAAACGGATCTTGATTGTAGCCGTATTTTCAGAATCGGTTCATATGCGCAAGTCCCTTAGAAACCTAGACCAGTGAAAATCATATGTTCCACGGAGGAGAAGGGGCAGGCGGTACTGAGAACCTTCGTTGCTGCAAAGAGGGACCCAATCCAGTCTAAGGAATTAGTAAATTTGTCGATGACAAACGATAAGACCACGATGCAGAGAGAAGAAGTTCGAAGTGTGAGAGAGCAACTTACTTTGCGTCGACAGGAAGGAGAAATGAATTGAACGATGGTGTATCGCAGTGGTGTGCCTACAATTATCAAAATTCCCCCACGGAAACGTACAGCAACTCTTACTTTACTTTTGGGTGGGCCCACAGTGAATAAACTGTAACTCCTTTTCGCAATTCTATGTGTGCTCTCCCTTCCCCTCAACTACAGTAGCACTCTATGATGTTATCCTGTATATTTTCATGAAAACATTTAATATTGATAGTTTAATTTCCATAAGATCTTTATGAATACTATTTTTAATTATGATGTTTGTTGATTATGTTAGTGATTCATTTTATGAATATTTTTGTTATATTCATATAAATAATTATGTTTAATAATATTGGTTTATAATTTATGATATATTAATACTTTTAAAAAATCATAATAATTATTTCTCATAATATTGATTTATAATTTATGATATATTAATATTTTTGCTATAATTATGCATATAAATAATTATGTCAAATACTCTCGATTTACTATTGATTAATTAATTAACGTTAAATTGTTATTATATTTGATATTTTATAAAATCAAAGCTACGTTCAAAGCTATTGACACTCAAACAACGGAATATCCGCCTATTTTTTAAGTTATTTCATTTTGTGATCTTTATCGTCACCTTAGTATTAGGAGTACATTTGTACGAAATAGGTTTGATTTAAATAAATCGTTTTTTGAGTGTACATTTTTAAATTTTTATAATATCAAAATTAATTTTAATAAATTAAAATGTTAAGTAATGTAATTAAATAAAAAACAGGGTTTCTACTATAACCGGGAATAAGCCAGGAATTTTATGCCAATCCGGGAATTTTTAAACCAAATTAAAAAAAGTTTTATTATTTTAATTTGTTTTTAAAAAATCGCTTTTTATTTTAATTTTTATAGATATTTATACTGTTCTCTAAATTTGAATTAGTTAAAAATAATTAATTTAATTGTAAAAACTCAGTCACTGATTCAAATATAGTATGTAAATAAATTTAAAAAAAAATTATCGTCTTAATAGAAATTTTGTAAAATTTGTGACGTATGATTTTAAAATTTTATTTTAAGTTAAATTTCTGCATACGTCAGGCAAAATCCGAAGCTTTCAACAACAATAATAATGAGAATTAAATGAATAAATATCGCCGTCAGGCGCCAATTAATTTTAAGATAATTAATAAACTTTTAACTCTGACTCGACTCGACAATTAACAATTTAACTCCTCTGAGTTTCTCTCTTGCTTCTTATTCGTCCGCCATATTGGATCCGCTATTTAGAATTTTATAAATCTGACGTTAAGTTCGTAATCAGCGACCCCACAAACCTCCGCGTAATAATATTCAAGCAAATCTGTCGTTATTTAAAAAAGTTCTCCTGTCTTTTAAAATCCGCTGTTTTTTGAGGTTATGTCAAAATCCTGACGTGATGGAGCAAAACGGACTTCAGATTCGTGTTCAGCGCAACAAAATACATAAGGGAAGCGTGGTCTTATTCCTCGGCCAGGGTACTTTTATATTTTGTGTGGCTGTGTAATGATGTAAACCATTTAAATTTTACCCTAACAAATAATATTACTTGTGTTGCTAAGGAGCTTCGAATGTCGAAAAATTTTATAATTCGTGTAATTTTAAACGTAAGCCCTGGTTCGATTCAGACTTTAGGGATGCTAGAGGGCGTGTTAGGCAAGCTATAAGGGCTGCAAAAATGGATACGTTCTCTCTTGAAAGTAAAGATACTTTGTTGAGGGAGAAACGTGCCCTGAAGGAGACGGTTAATTTTAAAAAGAACAATTACAAAAAAGATTTACTGTCAAGGTTAGCAAACTGCACCCAATCGTCTCAGTTCTGGTCGATAATAAATTCTTTCAGGACACGTTCTATGTGTGTGCCTTATCTATGTGTGTGGACTTGCCTACTTGGTTGAATTATCTTGAAATTAGTTACCATATGATAGTCACAAATGGAACCATAGATAAGAATTTTCTCAATATTTTACACCCTATTTTCGATGGAAGTATTACGTTTGACAAACTTTCGGCAAGTCTTGCTCGTTGTAAGAATAAAAAGGCTCCCGGTGTTGACGAAATTGGCAATGCTTTCTACAAAAACCTTCCACAAAACTGGCTTTTATTTATGTTGCACCTATTTAACAATATTCTCTCTACTGAATCGGTTCCTAAAGACTGGAGTAGGCTTGTGATTTCTATGCTCTATAAGCGGAAGAGTTCAATGGACGACCCCGATTGCTACAGGCCTATTTTACTTGTACATAATGTGGCTAACATTTTTACTCAAATCCTGTGTTCTCGGCTTGTGGCTTGGGCTTCTGAATTTGACCTAATTCCAGGATCTAAAGCAGGTTTCCGGAAGGGTAGAAGTTGCCTTGATAACCTCTTTGTCTTGAATGCATCGATTCAGTTTCATTTAAGCAAACCGAATGCTTCGGTCTATGCCATTTTCTTGGACATAAGGGAGCTTTTCCATCTGTGTCTCACAAGCTACTTTGGAATAAACTACACAAGTTTTGATTAAGTTCAAAAATGATTAATATTGTCAGGAGCTTTTATTCTTATGCATACACGTGTATTAGAACTGGTGAGGGTTGTACTGAGTACGTGCGGGTGTCGAGAGGCGTATTGCAGGGCAAGGTATTAAGCCCGTATTTATTTTTGTTATTCATTTCGGACTTAGATGGGTATCTCATGGATCTAGAGTGTAGGGGTTTGGTCATTAATAATGCAACTGAAATGGTAGTTTTCGGATATCCTGGCGACTATGTTTTGTTGTCGGATTCACCCCTTCAGGTGAGCAAGAAGTTGAATGCTTTGTACACCTATTGTAAGGAGAACAGTTTGGTCGTCAACATAAACAAAACAAAAATTCTGATTCTCTCAAGATCACCAAATTCCAAGTCAAAGAGGTAATATAATAAGACAACGTCCCTTAATATCTAATTTTTTTATTGCATAAGTTTGCATAAAATTGCTTATTTTTTATGAAATAGGTCAATAGCAGATCGTTTTGGAGTCTCCAAAAATACAGCTTTGAGATGTACAATTAAAGTTGCCGAAGCACTAAAGAGCAAATCTGGAGAGTATATAAGGAGGCCTCGAGGACGCGAATTAACAAGAGTCCAAGAGCAACTTTTTGAAATAGGAGGTTTTCCTAATGTTATTGGAGCAGTCGACGGATGTCACATAAAAATAAGTGCTCCTTCAGTGGATGGTAATAGCTACGTGAATCGCAAGGGCTTCTATTCACTGAATTTGCAAGGCATTTGTGATGCTCAGCTGCGATTCATCGACGTGTTTGCCGGAATATGTGGCAGCGTAAACGATACCCGCGTATGGAGCATGAGTGACATAAAAGAGGAATTAGAAGAAAATGTTTCTGAATTTTGTCCAAGCGGGTCTCACATTCTCGGCGATTCAGCCTACAGCATAAAACAATTTTTGATTACACCATATAAAGACCGTGGATTTATGACAGCGACACAAAGAAATTTTAATAAAATCCTTTCACGCCATCGAGTTGTCATAGAACGGGCATTTGGTTTGCTGAAAGGCTGCTGTCGCAGATTAAAATACCTTTACATTCAAAATGTAAAATATGGGGCTCTAATTATCGTTGCTTGTTGTGTACTCCATAACATATGTCTAGAATTGGCAGACGATACCAACGAAGAAATATTAGGCGAACTGTCTACTATTGAAAACGAAGAAATCGAAGAAGTAAATATAAGAAATGATGAGCAAGATATTGTTGCTACAGATAAACGAGACTCTATAGCAGAAATTTTAATGACAGCTAGACGGCGTTAAAATTATTCTTAAAAATACTTTGTAATAATGAAATACATTGTTTAATAAAAGAAATATTTCCTATTTCCTTTTTAGCGTTCAGAAGTTGTTGAAGACCACTTATATGTTGATTTAAAATTAAAATTGTTTTACGTATTTTAAACATATAAATTCTCGTTCGAAAAAAAATAAAAAATTTTATTTCATTTTTGGATTTATGGAGATCGGGTGTGGTCGAATATGACAAATATTCGTCAATGTCAAATTGACCTAATGTGTGCGGACTAAAATTCATTACAAAAGCGACCAAAATTTATTGTTTATTAATTTTATTATTATACAAACTATCTAGTTCACTAAATCATCATTTTGCATTATTTCTGTTAAACAAAATTTATAATTTTTCTAAAATTCTATTCAACATAATTCGGTGGAAATTTTTATATTAACCAGTTAAAAAAAATTATAATTCATATCTTTTCAAATTATTTACTAAATTTTTCTGTCGTGAATTTATTTGAATAAATAAAGGTTGTTCTGTCTAATGCAACTTTGAAATTTTAAAAATTCTTAGTAATAACAATTTGTGTAAGCTTTTGATAAATTAAGATTTGTTAAGAGAGTAAGAATTTTTAAAACGTGCCACCTAAAATTCAAAAAATTTATTTTTCGCCAAAATGTTGTTTTTTCTGTAGTGTTTTATTTAAAAAACAGTATATCAAAGGATTTGCCAGAAAATTTTTTTTTGTTATTATAAACAATTAAAGTTTTTAGACACTTTTAAAAAAAATTAATTAAAAAGAAACTTGTTAATTGATTTTAATGATCCAAGAGGCATTCTTTTTTATTTAAGTCAAAGTTTTGAATAAAATTTTTTTCGTAAAAAGAATTGAAATTTATTAAAAAAACAAATTATTTATTTATAACAAATTAGCAAAAAACCATATTCGCAATCGAATTTTAAAATGAAAAAAATAGAACTTATTCTTTGATTACCACTGAGTAATATTCCGTTGAGAAAAGAATAGCACTAATGATAAAAAATAAAAGATAAATTAATTAACTTTAATATAATATATTAATAAATGTCTTTTCGTATATACATATAATTGAATATTTTTTATGATTTATGTAAATACAAAGAGAATCACAGTAGGGGAATTCCACGGGTAAAACACACAGTTGTAAATGACAAGTTACCGATTTTTCTCAAAGTTTTTAGGCGTATTCTACCTTCAAAAATAATGATATAGCCAAAATTTTAAGTACCTATCTCATAAAGGTCACTCACAATCTTCAATTTCATGAAAAGTGCCATTTTTGAAAACTAAGATTAAAAAATTAATTTTTACTTGAAACAATCGGACAAGTGCGAGTTGCACTCGCACTAAGATCGAGGGTTCCGTACACCAAAATTAAACTTATTTTTTATAAAAATATATATTGTATATAAGAAAAATGATTGATTAATATTAACATATATAAACCTATTGAGCTGAAATTCGGTACACATATGTATTTTTATTACATGTAGATTAAAAAAAACTATAACTATAATCCACATTGGATTCTTATGTTTTATTTACAAATAACAAAAAATATATATTTTACCTGATTAGAGATAACATTTAAAATAATATATTGGATATAAACTAACAAAAGCTACTTATATTATTAATTATAATAAATTTTTTATTGATTGATATTTTGCCAATTTCATTGAAATTTATTTTAATTTAAAATTTTTTTAATATTTTATTTTTAAAAATTATTACTTTTTTCAATGATATTGTTTCCAAGATGCACCACGTGGAGGTAACCAATCATGCATCTCAAAAAATATATAAATTTATATATCAACTGTACTTGCTCCAAAAACAATTAACCATGACCACATAAAAAATATTTAAGGTATAACATTTTCATGACTAAATAGCAATTTCATTAAATTAAAATATTTATTACAATTATTAATTTTTATTGTAGCCTTGACCACGGTCGAACTTATCATTAACTCAACCACAGCTCTATAAATATTGTTATCTAAATGTATACTCATAAATTTGATTATCGTCCACTAATCACAGTCGAACCTTCTAATGGCTCAACCGTAATTGCATATTAAAATATATAATACAATTAATAGTTTTTTTATGCAGCTTAGACCACGGTCGAACTTATCGTTAGCTCAACCATGGTTCTCCAAATATTATTATATAAAAATATATAAAGTCGAACCTTCCGATGGTTCAATAGCAACTGAATTAAATTAAAATATTTATTACAATTATTAATTTTTTGTAATGTACTCTTGACCACGGTCGAACTTATCGTTAGCTCAACCATCGCTCTCTAAATATTGTTATCTAAATGTATACTCATAAATTTGATTATCGTCCATGGATAACAGTTAAACCAACCAACGGTTAACAAAAACTGCTGATGGCTCAAGTACAGTTTCCTTAGAATGATGATTTAAAAGACAAACAAATATTGCCTGAGTAAAAAGCACAATCTGTCCAATTTTTTATCGTATGTGTTTGTATTTTATCGATAATGTGGGTAAATTTACTATTCTATATTTTTACATTTTTTTTTAAATTTGTAGATGTATTACAGTCATGAATATCGAAAATGATACAAAAATTTTTTTACATATATATTTTTTGTTGTGTGAGCACGGCACGAAAGAAAAATTTATTTGGTTTGCATTATTTGAATATATAATTGCTTGTGATGACTAAAAAATGTATCTATTGTACCCACATCAATGAATTCTACGTTAGAGAATACATTATCTATTTCAGTAAACTGCCTTGTTGTTGACACATTATTGATTCTCTTTTTCAATACATAATTTTGAAAATACTTTAATAATTTATTTTCACGAGGTTTATTAAAATCAATATTAAAATCACCCATTATAATAGTTGGGGCTACTAATCTCTTTATTTTTATATTTCCAAAAAGTGCATTATCAATACATTCGATTGCTGTATCTAATGAACACTTAGGAGATTTATATATTGAGAGTAATCGAATTCCGTATAACAGCATTTCCGTACATTCACAATGTCCATTTTTATTTTCAAATTTACAGTACCGTTTCAAATTTTCTATTTTAATTACACTTTTGAAAATTTCTTTTAAAAATACTATCGAACCCCATCCAGGATTTGTATTTTTTTCAGATGGTCCGTTAATTCTGATCATTTCTGAAAATCCATTTAAATGAAAATTATGTAATTCACAGCTCCAAGTTTCTACAAAGAAAAGAACATGAGAAGCTTTTATAATTGGGTCTGAATCTATATCATCGACGTGCTTGCACAAAGACTGCACATTATAAAATATTATTTGAATTATGTCGTTAGGAACATTTCTCAAGAATCTGTAACATGGTACTAGAGGACTACTAGATTCAAGTCTATTCATTTCCACAATAACTGGATTGTCATTTTGAGGTGGAGAAGGTGCCTGAAATTTACCATTTTTTATAACAATAAATAATCCTGAAGCTGTTCTCGCTCTTGAACATGCTACGTACAGCATAGATCTACGAACATTTTGATTAACATGAACAACAACTTTATCCATGGTAGCACCTTGACTTTTATGAATAGTTATTCCTTCTGCAGCAACCATAGGAAATTGAGTTCTTTGTACAATCAAATTAGATGATTTCGATCTTTTTATAGTGTACGTAGCTGATTCAATTGGGGTCCATTTCATTTTTATAAAATTATTTTTATGACCTTGATTTGAATATTCAAATTTGTTTCTAGTACATTTTCCTATATTTTCGTCACCGAAATCCATCCATAATCTTAGTGGACGTCTCTCACCTGTGATTTTATTTTACCAAAATCTATAGCTTTTAATATACCACTAGTACCGTTAACTACCCCATCTGAAGTATCAATATTTACAGTTATCATAAATCTTGCTCCAATTTTAATACTAAGAGACTTTGGCAACCCATAAGTTTGCATTCTAGATAGATCTTTTACTGACTTCAAAGCCTTGCGTTTTGCTTGAAAGTTAGGTGCCCCTAAAACTATATCTATGGCATTAATTTTTGCTTCATCTGTATTCATTTTAGATAAAATTTTATTATTAAAATCCTCTACTTCTTTATTACTTACGAATAAATGAATAGCACCTTCTGCCTCAGGGGGTAGCAAATTAATAGTAAAACATCTATTCTGTATAAGGTTAATATCAGTAGAAGACATCTTTCCTGAAGCCATATTGTTTAAAGCTGTAGCAAAATTTAAATCATTTTTCTGACGCATTATTTGTGTCATATGAAATAACTTAAATTGCTCCCAAAGGGGCCGTTCAAAAAATACGTAACGCTTTAGGGGGTTGGGGGAGTCAAGCTATTTGTTACGGTCAGCAGAAAAAATAGCGCCAATGTATACAACATTGCGTTACATGGGGGAGGGGGGGGGTCCAAATTTCCGAAAAATAGCGTTACGTATTTTTTGAACGGCTCCAAAGTGGATTACCAGCTATTACCGCCATTGTATTTGCTCTGGTATTGGGTTGAAAAACCCAATTATCACCAACTGGTGGTAATTGTTGAAAATCCCCTACTGCAATTATTGACATCCCAGCAAATGGTTCATTAGTATGAAATATTTGTTGTAATCTCCGATTAATTTGATATAATGTTTTGCTTCCCAACTTAGATATTTCATCTAAAATAATAAGATTTACAGATTTTAATTTACAAGCAAGAGTATTGGACGTAGAAGGTGATAATTCTGGCATAGTATATCCACATTGAGATATAGGAAGACCAAATATACTATGTACTGTTTGTCCTCCAATTCCAAAAGCAGCATTCCCTGTATATGCTGATAAAATTATTTTAAGTTCATCAGGATCTGAACCAGGTATTCGATTGAAATAATATACCATGAGATGTTGAAAAAGTGTTTTTATTAGCAAACTTTTACCTACACCAGCGCCACCGTTTACAAATAAATATAATGGTGGAGAGTTTACTGTTTTAT